CTGCGTGCCACCAGCACCCAAGCAGCAGTCACACCTGAAAAAAAAAAAATCACACACTATATAAAGTACTAGTACACTGTCAGAAACGAAGCATTTAATGTTAGTAAGGAGGTTTTTTGTTACTTATAGCTTTTTCTTTTTTTTCTTTTTTTTTTTCCCTTTACTTTCAGAGAGTGGTACCACTGAAACATAAGGGCTGGTGTTATTGGCATTAAAGTGGTTAATGTGTTAGTCTAATTCTAAACTCCTGAATGTAATAGCCTAATCTCACTATTATTCTGTTCTTTTACTTCACCACTTGTATATTGTCTAATTGTGATTTACTGCATATTTTTCACATAAATAATGGACTCTTTGTCTGGGCTACATTGCATGGTAGAGAGTGCTACAAGGTGTCATATGAACAAGGTTATAGAAAAGATTGAAAAGACTACAAACTATTGTGTGAGTTGCGGAATAGCTCGTGCTGTAATGATGCAGACATGCAAGGGGCAGTTAAGGGCTGTGTGTACAGCCTTGACTTCATAGCATTTCTCATCTTGAGTGTTTAACTGTGCAACCCCGGTATTTTTGTAATGGAGTATTTTCTAATGGAGTTTGAGGGGATTTTGTTCAAAGTGAAAAACATTAAGATTCTGGAGCACTACAGATGGCGTGGGGGGGGAAGTTCTCGAAGCATGGTGCTTCCCGAGCTGGCTTAAGCTCTGCCAAACCTGCCTGTCCTGCACACCCAAGTCAGTCGTGTGCACAGCCCCGCCGGCCGCCCTGCGAGGAACGCCCCTGCTAGGGACCCCCACGACATGGTCCCTTGGCTGGAGCTGTCACAGCCGCCACAGATGGGCTCCACCAGCCACCTCCTGAGAGACCGCGCTCAGCACCAGCGCGCCTGGGCGCCTTCTCGCCGCTGGATTAACGCCGCGCGTGAGCTTGTGCCTCCAGCACCTTTAGCGGGGAGCAAAGGCACACGGAGTACACGCGAGGGAGAGGCAAGCCTGGCAGGCAGCCTCGCAGCTCCCGGGGTTTTCTCTCCAACTGCTCCAGCACTCACAGGAAGCTCCCTGTCCTCGCCCCCCTGCTGTCCTGGCCACGGGTGCCACCGTGGCTGCTAAGCCTTGCAGCTGGGCTCAGTCATGTCATGGTGGATGAGGCTTCTTCGGCACCGGGAGCAGGAGGCTTTGCTGCTTGGAGAGCTGAGGCTTAACATGCGTTCCCAGCACACGCCTTGGGTACAGCCTCAGGACTGTGCAAAGTTCTGCCTCCAACCTGGGGAGAAAGACTGGTGATGGACTCGTCTTGGCGTGCTTTTCGTAGCCTGTCGGCACCACCTCTGCCCAGCTGGAGGTCAGACCCGCTGGTCCCCACGCATGCAAGCCCGTTGTGCCTCAGTGAGGGGACGCTGTGGCAGTGGAGTCATGCGTTTCACGGCACATGGCCAGCATTGCGTGTCATCCGACTACGGCCAGGACGCGGGTTTGTACTGCTCGCCCGCGAGCTCACCGGGCAGTTTGCTGTAGTTGCTGCAGGGCTCCTCCAGAAGAGTGCCTGGCAGCCTGGCAGAGGTGCAACTCCTGTTGACAACTTGTTGGATGATTCTCTCCAGGAAAGATAGTTTTGATGCATTGTCCTGGCATCCTGCCACTTCTCCTTGGTCAGGGTCTATTTTATTAACATTGCTAAGACAGAAGGTCTAGGAGAATGAGAATGGAAGTCTTCTCTCGATTCACTGAGTGGAGCAAATCACTTACTAGGAGGCAATTTCAGTTTCAGGCCTTGGCTTGATTCCAAACCGTGATGGGTCTTAGTCTATTAGTTGCAATAAAATAAACTAGGAGTTGGCCTCTGGCGGGGTTCCTTACACCCTGGCTTGGACACCGAAGGCTTGACATCAGGCCTTAGTTTGACATCAGGCACAATAGAACAGGGCACACCCACGGTGCATTTCTGCAGACTTGGTTGAAAGAATGTGTCCTTGAAGGAGAAAGAGAAGGATCTTTCCTGACTGAGGCATTAGCTACGTCAACTAGCAGCAGATGTCCCTGACTGTCATAATCAGCTTAGTAAAAACAGTCTGAATTTCATACACTCATGAATGGTGAATCAAAGCCAGATTACATAAAGGCATGTTTTCCTTTTTAGTGTGGATCACCGCTGTGCCTAATTTCAAAATTTTGACCCTTGTACATTTCAACTGAAGGAATATTAAGAGAAAAAAGTTCTAAATATATTTTTCAAGATAGGAAAGTTTCTGGTTAGAGAACTGTTAGAAAATTATGAGTGATGGAGAAAAGAGTTATAGTGGAAATTATTATGAATCATGATTGTAATTACCAGTGGCCATAATTATGCTTTAATCCCCAGAGTATTCTTGCTTTCTTGATTTCTCACTGGATTTCACGTATTGAAATGATGTCCTGCTCTGGAAAAATAATTGGGAACTGGACTTCTGTTCCCAATACCATATCAGAGTGTTACCCCATTCATGCCACCTTGTATTTGATCACTCTACTTGGGTACAGGAATATTCTACATTCGAGCTCCTTTATATTTTTCATGTGATGGTCCACTGAACCTGGGTCTTTTGCTTGGCCTTATGATGAGCTAGACAAAAAAAAAAAGAATTGGAAGATTCTTCTGTAGTAGGAACTGCCTTGTTATTTCATAAGCATCTTGTATGCCTGAGGCTAGTAGGATTAGTGAAGGAATATTATGCATGCGCGCATAGTTTATAAAGCTGCTTTGATTACAAAGTCCAAAAAAGTTATATTAAATTTTTATTACAAAAATATTTGTTTTTCTTCATTCCTCTTCAAACAGAAGAGAGAGTTCCAGGCATTCTCTTGCTTTGCAGTCAAACATCAGTTCCAAAGAAGGAAAAGGAAGTGAATGTCCGCTGCTATATCACAGCCCAGTGCTTTTGTCTCAGTTTCCCAGTTCTATCATTGTGACCAGTCCCCTGGACAAGCAAAACTTCATCCTGCTAACAAGGAGCTACGACTGGAAGGAATTGCAGCTCTGTTGTCATTATTTATGCCTTTAGGATTTAATTCCCTGCTTCTCTATCAAGAGTGTTGGGACAGCCTTGCAGTTCCTTGCCTCCTATGATTCAGCGTTTGTAATTTTTATATATATATTTTTTCTTCTGTTTTTGCCTACAGCAGTTGGGTTTTCTATGTGGTCTCATGAACGAATGTCCGAATCATTCAGGTTTCCCAGCTCCAAATCTTGGCTTATACTTCACCTGTGCAATGTCATCATTTTCATCCACCTTTCCATTTCTGAAACTGGCTGCTTCTCTTACACAGGAGAGAAAGCCAACTTCAGCATCCTGGATTTGGATGCTTTCCCCTATCTAGAATTAGATCTGTGTATGGCTTAGAGGCAGCGGTAACTCTTTCAACTGCTTGTAATAGACATAAATCAGGTGCCTGCCTTGATAGCTCTGACTTGTTTTATAGCTTGTGACATGAATGCTTGTGCAGCGATTTGATGCAGGACCTAGGAGGGTTGCTTTCCAGCAGCTGCACCGAGGAAAGCCATGGCCGTGGGACAGTGAAGGACAGTTATTTATTTGACCCGAGACACCAAAATCCTCCTGTTTTCTTTCTGTGGCTTCTCTGCATGTCGGAGGACACAAGCCTTGCTGCTCTCCAGACAGCTCTCAGGTTGTAGATATTCAGCTGGTTCTTTTGCATGCTACCTAGATCATCAGTCTTGCTTCAGCGTCTGGCTAAGGTAAGCTCCCGGGAGGGGAGGTTGGGGGGCAGCCTGCTTTTTCTTAATTAGGACAAGACTGGAGGCAGTTAGCACGGCAGCCTGTAACAGGCCAGTGGGGCCTGTGCCTCTCTGTGGGGAGAATCACGCCCGTCCTTGGTCGCAGTGATGCAGCGCTTGGGACAGTTTTGGCACTGTCTCTTCTTTTGGGCTGCAAGGTGAGAGCGGTGGCTTGAAGAGTTGCTTTCTTCAGACATTTCATAGGGCCGCAGGCAGCTCTTCTCTTTTTCCCCAGAGCAACAGAACACCATTTAGAAAGACTCTCAAAACTCGAGGCTGTTTCCAAAGCGGGGCAGGGATCCTGCTGGCCGCATCCTGCCCTACCGAAAAGCGGGCAGGGCTGGCAGCAGCCCCGCTACCTCCGGGGGAAGCAGCCGGCGGGGTGCGCGGCTCGTCCGATCTGGAGGTGCTGAACGCGCAGCGGGGCTGGAGCAGGGGCAGGGGCTGGGGAAGGAGCTGGGGCAGGGGCTGGGATCGGGGCAGGGGCAGGGGCAGGGGCAGGGTCCGGCCTGCGGCCCAGGGAAAGCGGCGTTGCCCGGCCCGGCCCCCGCGGGCCCAGCGCCCAGAGCGGCGCCGGCCGGCCGGCCGTTTCCATGGCGACCCGACGCTCGTCCGGTCGTAAGCCCCGCCCCCTCCCCGCTGATATCCAATCGCGAACACGCTCGGGAGGAAGGCTGAGCTCCTATTGGGCAATACTGACATTAATCAACGCCTCCAGGCCCAGCGGGCTCCGGCGGCCTCCCGCGCGGGAAGGTGTTTACAGGGGCAGCCCCCTCCCCACCCTCATCGCGTGCTGATTGGCTGGCCGGCCGTCTCGGGGCGGGGATTTTGCCTCTTCCTCCTCAGGATTGGGCGGGGGCGCCGTCAATAAGAGGCGGGGCGGGAGGTAGGCTCGGCGGTCTCGTTCGAACGGCCGCGTGCGCGGGGCTCGGCCGTGCTCCCCCAGGTAAGGGCCGCTCCCCGGGTCCCGCCGCCCCGGCCCTGCCCCGGCCCCGGCCCTGCCCCGGCCCCGGCCCTGCCCCGGCCTTGCCTCCAGGCCGGCCCGGCCCTGCCCTGCCCCGGCCCTGCCTCCAGGCCGCCCCCTCGCTCTGGGAAGGGTCCGGCCCAGCCCTGCCCGAGCCGTGGCGTGGAGCAGAGAGGGCGACCCGGGGAACTCCAGCGCTTTCCAGACTGTGTGACTGGTCAGTGCTGCGGAGGATTCCGTCTAGCTAAGTTTCCTTAACTACTTGCAGGGAAGTGATCTGACTGCGAGGACCTCTGGCAGAGGCCAAGCTCGGTAAGCTGCTACAGTTATTGCAGTGGTAACTGGTTTTAGCAGCTGGGTGTGAAACTCTTTCTGTAGGCAGGCTGTGCTGCAGAGATCCTAGGAACCATGATCTGCCCTGTTTCCTTGCTGAGGAGCGGGGTCAAACATATCTGTGTGGTTTTTAAGAAATGTATGCCAAACCTGTTATTGAAGGCCTTCAGGGATGGAGATTTAAACTGAAACACCAAGCTGTTGAAAGCTGAAACGCTAAATAAGATGGGTTCCTGTTTATGTTGATCCTAATTGACCACCTTAATTCAAGACCTTAGTTTATTTTTACGTCACTGAAGAGATACAGAAGTAGGGACTTGCTTTTACTGAATCAAGCTCTAGAAGAAAGTGACACTCAGTAAACTGAATGCACAATTCACTGACTTCTAGCCATGTTCCTTGTGCCCAGGACGTGCTCCTAGCCCCACTGGTTCTGTTTAACTTAGTTGAAATTAGAAGAAACATGTAGCACTGGGTGGGTCAGGATGCTGTTGAACATCAACTGGTTTTGTTTCTAAGTGGAAACTAAGATGCAATTGTGTCTTAGGAACGCTTATGTTCAAGAACAAAAAGTTAATTCCATCCTGAAACTGCATGCCGGGTCAAGGCAGCTCCAGGTGCAGGGGGAGTGACTTCACTGTCTGATTCTTTGCACCCTGGGGACAGGAAAAGCAGCTCTCCTATCCTGCCACAACGCTTATTGCACAGAATTTAGCATAGGTCAACAAGAAATTAGTTGGTATTGCAAAATGCAATGTGGTTTTATTTTTTTAGTTGATATACATCAGGTAATCTAGTAAATCACGTTTGATTAAAACAAACAAACATGTACTTGAATATGTATTTACTCTCCCGATAACAGCCATGAAGAAACAACTCTGGATTCCTCAGTATGTAATATTGAGAAATCAATCCCTATTAATTGCTAAATTTGTGTGGCTTGCTTCAGAAACCATTTATATTCCTGTTATATTGCTTTTCAGAAAATATTCCAGTCTTTATTTTACTTTCATAAGTTATGTAGCTTAAAAGTAGGTAAGAAATAGCAAAGTGAATGAGTAGCCAGGCTTGGTGAGTACACAGAGAGGAGCACAAGCCCGCACAGTGGGCAGAGGCTCTGTTGCTGGCACTCACACGCTGCTCCCCACTACCCTCCTCGTGCAGCCAGTGCCTGAGCCCCTGGGCCACAGGTCTGCAGTCCTCACCCTCAGATGTTACCTGAGATTTTGCAGCTTGGCATGTGAAGTAACATTCATTAGCATGTGATGTGTTTGTTGTTTGAACGCAGTATACTTAGGTTCATGATCAGTGTGTGTGAGTCGTGTCCTATTCTAACTAGATTTTGGTCTGAATTATCAGTTGAATGACCTAGCAAAGTCATGCTTCTTGTGGGTGACCTGGTAATTCTGTGGGGAGACCTCTTTGTATCTAACTGTATGTTCAATAATGAATGTAGGGCAGATATAAGCACAGTTGACTTTGTGGTATTCTGTCTGAGATAATGGCATTTTCTGTAGTGTAAATTGTCTTCACTGAGTTGAGTTTATGCATGTTTAAAGATTGTGTAAAAGAAAAAAAAAATACTAACTTTGATTTTAAATTCTAGATGTGACTCCTGTGACCAAGAAGATTTATAGCAGCTATCTCATAACTGGAAGTCACAGGGACAACAGCCACTTTTGTGTTACAGGACTGAATAGGTAAGAGACAAGTAGCTCTTTAAACTTTTCTTAATTGTAATTAATTTCACTCCAGCTTTTGATTTTTAGAGCCTCAATTTTTTTCTGTCTCCTCTTTCTAGTCAGTTTTTCTTTCTTTGATTAACATTTTTGCCTTATGTTTTAATCAGGAATTGTTTTTTCATTTGCTTATACAGATGGCTTAGATACACTTTCAAAAGTAGCTGAGATATTATCCATAAGTATTTCAGAGTCAAATAAAGTTCTCTTGCTGCTGCCACTGCTCTGTGAACACTGATTAAATCCCATAAATATTCTCGTACCTTTTATCTGAAAACCCCTGAAGGTAGGTTGACAGAAATCATTCCCTTTCTTGTTGATAATTTTAACTAAAATAAGGCTATAAAGTACTGCTGAATGCATCCAGAGAGCCCATGCTTGCCTTCCATTCAAGCAGAGCAAATGCAACCACCAGTGCTCTTACCCTTTTTGAGGGTTTGGAGCACTTGAAAAGAATTGGATGATTTGTAAACAGTGTTAGGAAAGGACAGGTGGGATTTTTTCCCATTTCTGAAGATATAAACCTTTATGTGCAATTCAACTACCTTTGATTTCTTAGTCAATGCTGATTTGGGGATAAATATGATCACTGGTAAGGAAAACAAAAAAGCAGATCTGACCTTGGTGGTAGAATCCCACATTAGAAAGCCAGAATACTGATTGTATTTATAAGAGGCATTTCTTGGGGAAAATATATGGGTTACAGTGAAAATAACTGGTGGAAGTGATGTGAAGTTTGGCTTAATTTTTGGACCACTTCACTTGTGGGTATTAGGGTGAAGTAGGGCTGGGGAAAATGGAAGAAACTCTGCCTTATTAGAAGCGTAAAAACTGGTGACTGTATCTTGGCCGGTGTTCCCGATTTTCCAGTAAGCTGTCTGCTGTACGGAGGTGTATAACCCTAATGGCTTGTTGTATGCCATTAAAAGGTATTGTACACTCATAAAAGAATGACATTTTGATCAATGCTGTTAAAAGAATTACTGTCTTGACACAGAAAAGCTTTCCTGCTGCAAGTTTAAAAATATGCCTTTAAAAGCTTTTTATTGAATACCTTTGCATCCCTCAGAAATGTGCTATTTTGGCACAGGGCTGCTCTGAAGTATTCCATGTTGTAACTTAAACGCAAGACCTTCTGTTTACCATCAGAAGGGAGTGAGGCGAGGCAGGTGTATTCACTTAACTACTGTCATGGGGACGAAAGAAAAAGCACCTTGAGCTACTTGTATGCAGTCTAAAAATAAGAACTCCTAATTTTTAGAGTCCAAAATCATTTGAAAGCTATTTGTTTTTGTTTTGCCATTGATTCCTCTCTGTCCCTCCAGCTTTGTATGAGTGTCCTTTTGGACTTTGAAGCTGTTTATTGATGTTGGAGGGAGGCAGGTGGCAGATAGGAAAACCACCAATGTCTTCATTGTAGCCAGATCCTGGCTCATGTGCGGGCAGGCTGGCTTGAGAGAAACTTGTTTTGGAGATGGCTAGGTGGTCCTGTTGTGGTAGTACTTCTTGTAGCAGAAATCTCCCCTTAGTGGTATTAAAAGATCTTGTATCAGAGCTATTGTTTAATCACAGCTGCTGAAATAATGTTGTACCTGGCTTGATTGTGGCTAGAATTACAGCTAAACTGTTCAACGCAGTTCAGCTGGGACTGTTGCTGACAGCTACTGTCGGGTGGGAACCTGAGCAATCCCCTCCGTGAGCCTGACTGCCAATGGAGGTCACATCCCTGTCCCCCACTCAGAATTTGTAACAGACTTCGTTATGTCTGACCAGTTTAAACACAAGTGATAAAGCCCTGGTTTAGGAATTTGGGAAGTGGGAGGCAGGGGTGTAATTCCTCAGCTTTGTTGTGCTCATCGCGTGTCCTCGTGCATTTCATATGTTCCTTGAGTTTTTGTGTTTCAGGTCTTCAGTTGTTTAGCTGTGGGTGATGTACTAAATACAACTTCATATAGAGATGGATGGATTAGCTGAAAGAGCATGGCGGGGCAGGTTTTGATATAAAGAGATCCTAGGCAAATTTTTTGGAGGATTTTTTCTTCTTCTCCTTTCTATATATTTATGATCAAAACAAAGAAGTGGATGTTCTGGATGTATTTGGTACGCTTAGTGTCCTGTCCTGGGATTGTCAGCAGCTGGGTGGAATCTCAGAGTGCTTGCAAGTAGGTTTTGTAACAGGTGATTAAGATCATAGCATTAAGTGGTATTTCTATACATCAGGTGAAAAAAGTTGTGAAACTTAGTGGTGGAATTTCATTCCTAAAGAAAGTAAAATATTTAGCTGTACCATGTGTAAATAGTTCCTTTTAGGTACAGCTTTTGAGATATGATATTTCTTTCAGGAAAAGGATCTATTAATACGCTGCGTTAGACAAGGTACAAAAGGAAGAAGTAGGAGAGCTTGAATGTATGTTACTGGCATATGAGGATGTTAATCAGAGAACTATGATTAGAATTAAGATGTGTACCATCATAACTGCTTCCTAATTGTCTTTCAGATGCTTCAGTTTTGTTCAATTTAACCTTCAAGGAAGGTGTGAGAAGCCCAAGTACTTTCTTACATCTGTTTCAATTAAACTTTTAGTAGCTTCCGAGGAGAAGGTTTTGTTTGTTTCATTAAATATGGGAGTTTATATTGAAGTTCAGCTATAACTTGCTAAAGCTGATGTAAAGCAATTTCAAAGTAGTTTTCCCTACTCTGACTTTTGTTACAGTGGCATAGGTATAAGGTCAATACCAGCAAGAGCAAAGGCTGACACATGGCAGAGAAGTTGAACGTGATGGGTGCCTGGTAACTTGAGAAACTTACTCTGAGGTGTTAACAGTAACTTGAAATATATGGAAGGACACAAGGATTTTTCTTTGTTTATTGTACCCTGCAATATATAGTCTCTCACCAATGTTTCCAGTTTATTTTTCCATCTTGGGCCAATATTGAAGTAATTTGCTCTTTAGTAGTCTCTGTATTTAAAAACCAAAATATGTAGCATGTGCTACTGGTAGTAGCTTCTTAGATGACTGCTTGCTTATTTCTGAAGTCCTGCCACCTTTGCCAAGACAAGCTATGCGTGCATGCCTTTAGCTCAGTCATTCCATATTCTTTTCCTTTATGGCTTAGGTCAGTCCCCAACCCACACAAAATAGTATATTCTTTAACTGTGTGTTTCCTGTGGTGTGTTTTGGTTTGTTTTTTCTCCTAAGGTTTCAATTTGCATCCAGATGCTATGGGGAAAAGTATAAGAAATTGGCACCTCAGAGTAAGCATTTGCCCATACTTGCTTGTCTTCAGATGAAGAGGGGGAGACCGTTGCCTCTGCCAGCCTCCCGGGTCCCCTCTCACCATCTGTGCAGCACGTGGCCCTTTCTGCCACCAGCTGTTGTCTGCTGTTTTCTGACTAAGCCTCACTTGTGTAATTTTAGCTTTGGAGGAAATTTGAAAGTAAAATCATCTCCATAGTCCTGTTTACCCACAGTATCTCACTGAAGCTCCCTACCAATGTTTTTCTACAATGACCTTTTAGAATACCTGCTTTCAGAATAGACTTCCAATCTGTAAGTGTGGCTCAGGCATGTTTTCTTACATTTAGCTATATTAAAAACTATGATCTTTGCTTGACTCTTCTTTGCCAGGTAAACTAAATGGCTTTCTGTCATTGATCTTTGTTTTTTATCACTCTAATCTGTAAATTTGTTCAGTAATCATCTTGTGTTTTTTTCAGGGCATAGAAAAAACTGTTGAATAACATAAGGTCAAGTTCTTGTAGGTGCAATAAAAGAAACCATTCTCTTTTGTGTTGATATTTAATTGATAAAAGATGGAAACATTTATTTAATGTTTGGCCTCATCTGCAATTACATTTTGAGGCCTATCAGTCTCTAGCCCACTTGATGTGTCATGTTGATTTTGAGTTTCTTAATCAAATGTCACTTTGCATCAAGTCAACTGCCTTAAAAAATTTGCTATATCTATGTTGTTAATTAGCAATAAACTTATAATTAAAAATCAAGCTAGTCCAAGAATATATTTTCTGAAAATTCATGTCATTAATATTATATTACCCCCTCCATTTCTTTCTAGATAGTTTTGTATTGGTCATTCTGTTACTTTGAGATCACTGTCAGCCAGACAAGATTATAGTTATTCAAGTCACCAGATTTTAAAAAAAATAAAATACTGTTATTGTTTCCCTCTGTCCTCTCAAGTATCTCATGTTTTCCAAAGGATACTAAAAATGATCATTAATGGTCCAAACAGCTCTTCAGACAAGCTCTTTTCTTCTAATCACCATGGAAATTGAAACCTAGATCTTAACTCTTTCCCATTTGACCTAGTTCAAACTACTCACTTAATTTATAAATGTCCTAGCAGAGTCATATGACTTCCTGTGGGATTTCGGCTCACATTAATCCTTTATCAGTATGATGTTTCCTAGAGGTCCTCTACTTAATAGGCCAGATCAACAGCATTAAATGTTGATTTTGACCTTGAAGGCCTTGTCACTGTTTTTGGCATCTGTGGCTAGATTAAGGTGGGATAAAAGCTGAAGGTCTAAATCTCTTTAGATTATTATTTTAGGTCGGTTAAACGTTGCTTTGGTTTATAATTGATTAATATTTTGATGTTAATCTTTGCAGCTGTGAAATATAGAAATTCAACGAACTTTTACAGCTAAAACCAAATCTATAGAAATTGATCATTCAGGTAAATTATTGTAATCAATCCATCTAGCATAGAGGCTAATTATGATCTAGATATTGGCATCAAATGTAGTCCTTAGATGTTGGATTGATCGAATGGCTCTAAGAATTGGAGGAAGATCTTTGGGCAATAGAGGAAGGTAATCCACTTTTTTTGTATAATGGCTTTCATAATCAAACTTCTGTGTTGTCTTACGTTTATGGCTGACTTCCTGTTGACATGTATATAAAACATGTAATTTTGCTCACTTTATGTGCATAGC